CTTAGCCATTTTTTAATATTTTTACTGTAGAAATAAAAGGACTAAAAAGCAATATATGAAAAGACACGACATTGCAAACTACTTATTAAAATTATGAAAATTAGTTATAAATGAAAATATACCAAAGAATTACAAGAACGCCATGCAATCATAAAATGCATTTGTATCCATAAAACATGGTTTTCAGAAAAGATACGAATATGATCACCAATAACTATAAAATCGTTTGATTAAAAAGACGCAATTCTAAGATTTATTTATAACCATAAAAAAAAAAATTTCGATAAAATACAACCAGATGAAACATAATAAATATAAAGCAATTTTCTGAAAAGATGCATTTTTACATAGACTAATTTTTAAAAAGATGCAATCATAAAATGCATTAATAACCATAAAGCAAAAATTCTGGAAAAACTGCACCCTAAAACGTATTAATAACCATAAAATAGTTTCTACTCAAAAATACAATTTTAAAATGCATTAATAATCATAAAACGGGCTTTCTTAAAAAATACGCAATCCTAGCATTAATAACCATACTCCAAGGAAAGAGAGCAAATACGGGAATTGTAACCGTATATTCGAAGTCAAAGTTCTAAGAAGTATCAAAGAGGGTGTTACCAGCATGCTAGATGGTGGAGGAGAACGAGCGATGGTAAAAGACGACGGTGAAGTCCCAAGACGCAAAGACGAGAAATTTAGTGTAGGAACTAAAATTTCTATAATAGGAAAATTTTGTATGAAAGGATAATTTACAAATATAAGTCAAATTTACAATTCCAAGTAATAATTAAAAAAAAACACTAAAAGACATAATTTTGCTGGTAAAAAGGTGAAGTTAAAATCTTATTTGTAATTTATCTAATATCTATCATGTTATATTCTTTTTCTGTAAAAAATGCCTATTCAGGCTGTATTTTCAATAGTTGAGCTACTTACAAATTTTTCTACAAATATCTTCAAATTTATGATCCCAAAAGGAAAATATATAGCCGAAATTTCAAAAAAAAAAATTTGTTCTTATATTCTGTATAATTTTCAAAATTTACAAACAATACAATAATGTGAAGAAAAAAAATTAGTTTTATAAAATTGTTATTTACAAAACAAAATGTATATAGACGGGTGAAATTGACGTTCTTTAACCACGTTATTTGAGAGGCTATAATAATATAAAGAACCAAAAACAAAAAGAGATATTTAAGAATACCTCATATGATTATAACAAGCTTATTGTTCTGTCGTTGTTGTTTTCTTGTTAGTT